TGTGGGCCTTGGTTTGCACCCTTTAAAATGGGAATAAGCGCAGGACGTGGTGGCACAGGCCTCTAATTCCAGCAACTCGGGAGGCTGAGGCAGGAGGATCACGAGTTCAAGGCCAGACTGAGCAACTTAGCAAGGCTCTAAGCAACAAGTTGAGACCCTGTCTCTAAATGAACCATAAAAAAGGGCCTGGGGATGTGGCTCAGCGGTTAAGCACCCCTGGGTCTAATCCCTGCCTGTGCCAGCCTGTCGTGAGGACGGGTCATGTGACAGATGCCTGGCACCTGGCACCGTGGGTCACGCTGCCTTGCCTCTCACAGATGGGTACCCCTTTAGGAAATCCCCCCTAATTATGAAGTTGCAGATCTGAGTGGTCACACGGGGGAGAAGCACATTCATTAGGAGACCAGGCGCATAGCCTGGGCCGTGCCAAGTGTCTCTCCGCGCCAGCTTCCTGAAGACGCGGTCTCCATAGAGCACATCTCTGAGTCTTCCTGGTGGCGGCTTCCATCTGCCAAACACCCAGCAGCCTCTGGCTGGGGAGGGCCTGCGTGGGGGACAGTCCCTCCCTGGAGACTGCCCCGCAGTCCTTCACCCCAGGCTTGTAATCTCAGCTTTAAAGAGGACTCGGATGCCGTCCTCCTGCCCGCTCCATGACTAATCCATTCGCAGGGCCCCGATCCAAGAGAAAGCTAATTAAAGAATTTCTGCTCTTGGCTCAGCCTGAACTTTGAAGATTCCCCTTGGTCTTCCTGGAGTCTCTGGAAACAGGTGGGGAAAGGGGGTGTTGGAAAGGGCGTCGGATGAGCCCCGAGCCTCGTAATAGTCTTAATCCCCCTAAGCCAGCAGGCATCCAACAGCTTTCCGCCTGCACCGCTGAGACGGGGCTGGGGCTCCGGGAGGACTCGCGCTGCTGCCCACCCAGCGCCCCAGACCCCGGGGTCCCTGTTCCCTGCTCTCTGAGAACAGGAGGCCGTGCTTCCCCACAGTTACGGCGCGGCAGGGGAAGGACCCGGCATTCTCCGGAGCAGTGAAGTGGGGTGGGGTCCTGAACCCCAAGGCTTGGCATGGGGAAGTCCCTGTGCCCGGGGCCACCGAGATGACTGGCAGGCCACAGTGAAGCTGGGCCCTCACTCCGTGCCCCTCCGCTCCAGGGTCCTCCACCTCTAGGACATTTTCTTTCACCAATCAGGAATATTTGTTCTACACTCTCTGGTGGAACCTGTGCTCCATGGGTTTGGGGTCCTAGGAGTCCCCTGGGCTGCTGTGTCCCCTGTCTGGGTAGCGCTTGGCATAGAGCAGTTGTTCAATAAAGACTTGACTTTGGGGTGCTGGGGATTAGACCAGGGTCTTGGGCATGTGGAACTCCTCCCCAGCCCCGACATTGACCCCGTGGCTGGTGGCCAGGTACTTTCCTCACGGAGCTCACCTTCTTGCCGCCTTCAGAAAATGTCCCAAGGCCAGGCATTGTGGCCCACGCCCGTAATTCCAGTGGCTCAGAAGGCTGGGGCAGGAGGATCACGAGTTCACAGGCGGCCTCAGCAACATAGGGAGGCGCTCAGCCACTCAGTGAGACCCTGTCTCTACATAAGATACAAAATAGGGCTGGGCTGGGGCTCAGTGGTCGAGTGCCCCTGAGTTCAATCCCCGGTGCAAAAAGAAGAAAATGTCCTGATGATCTTTGCCTCCAAATGTGGGCAGGCTGCGTGTCTTAGGGGCTGCCCTTCCCGTCGCTCTGAGCTTTGACCAAGCCTGGTGTAACCCTGGGGAGGGTCATGGTGTCTGCTGCCGCCGTGGCCCTGCCCTCACCCGTTTCCCTGGCAGTGCCCAGGCAGGGGGCATGTGGACCTGCAGTTCTCCTCGCAGCGGCTCCCCCGGTACTTGTCTGCATCATGGAAATAAAAATGATAAAAACCTGCCACTGAATTCTGGGTGGCAGTGAATTACTTAACACCTGAAACAGGTTGAAATGTGGCCACTGTGGCTTTTAATAAGCCATCTCCCGTGCAGCCGCTTCCGCGAGGAGCCGGCAGGGTCTCTTCTCGAGGCGTAATTTCATTGCGTCCCAGGCTTGGCAGCAGTGCAAATAAAATTTCACTTCCCCTGTAAATCTCCGAGGGGGGAGCGGGATCTCATCCGTGCTGTCAGTTAGCGCTGGAGAGAGCCTGTTTACTTTGCCGCAGGAGGAGAGGGTCCTTCAGAGAGGCTGGACGTGGAGGCCAGCAGGGAGGTGGCCGTGTCAGCCCCGGAAGATGATGTGTGTGGAGGTGGCCGCCGTGCCGGCTCGGGGAGCAGGCTTTATTTGGGGTGCCTGAAAGTGGAGAGGCCAACGCCACCCAGACCTCCTGGGTCAGAGTTGGGGGGCTGGCTGGGTGGCCTCGGTGCAGCTAGGACCTTCCTAAGCAGGATGCCAAGAATCAGCCTAGAACTTGGGTGCGGGGCTGTGGCTCTGGGTGTCAGACCCTTCCCGGGCTTGGACACCTCTTCTCCAGGATGCGTGGTGAAGCCAGAGACCCCTCCTGGGAAGGGGGGACAGGAGAAGGGAAGCTTTTGGAACCCAGTGGTAGCCAGGTAGGAGCAGGGCTCAGGGGCAGGAGGACAGCCTCGAGGGCCCTCCTTAGAACTGGGACTCTGGGTGGAACCGCCCTGGGCCTTGGGGTGCCCCGTGGCTGTGGGGCAGCCATTGGAGGTCTTACCCGCCCCTGCCCTTAACTTCAGCAATCAGCAAAGCTGAGACTTCTTTGGGCAGGGCAGGTCCTGAAGCTGCCAGGCTGGAGGGGCCTCTCCTGGCATCCGCCTATAGACAAGGTCGGGGGTGTCCAGGGCCAGTGAGTCCCCTGCACTGCCCCAGCACTCATGTCCATCTCCCATCCCCTGTGCTCACTGGAGAGGGCCAGCTCTGCTTGCTCTCCTGTGAGCACAGGGGTCCCACTGCCTCTCAGACCCCCACCTCCTCTTCAGAACAGGCTGGTTACCTTTGGGTGTCCAGAAGGCAGGCACTAAAACCTGAGATGCCCGCTCCCACCCCACCCCACCCCACCCCCAGTCCTCCCAGGCCTCAGGCTCAGGCCAGCCTGGACCTGGGCCGTGGCGGGGTGTTTAGGGAGTAGCCCTCATCCTGTTCAGATGCTGCCCCCCTGAGCCAGCCCCTGGGGCACTCGGTGCCCTCTGTGAGGGGCACTGCTTGGCTCCAGGCTCTGTCTGGGGGCCCCAAATGCCCCCTAAACTCTGGAGTGGGGCCTGCGCTCAGGAACCGTCGTCCAGCGTCTCGCAGAGCCTGCGGACAGCGCAGGGTTGGTGCGTGGAGATCTGCAGAGGACAGCCTGGGTGTGGGCTCCTAGGGCTGAGGAACGCCCCCCAGCCCCCTGACAGAGGGGGAAACAGGCCCGGGAGGGTGAGGAACAGGTGGAATGGTGGGTCCAGTCCAGTTCTGAGGGACCCCAGGGCCCGCGTGCAGGAGCGCGGGGACACGACCCAGTGGTTTCCAAAGGCTGAGGATGGCGAACCCTTTCTAGGCAGGACCTCTGTCAGCTCTAGGACTGAGGAACACAGTTTGGGAACACAGCCCTTCTGCCCTGGCTTGGGGAGCTCCTCAGGTGCCCCCTGGGTTGTGGCACTGCTGCGGGGGAGGGGGGAGGGGGCCGGACCATCCCTGGGGTGGGGGTGGGGGTAAAATTGAAGCAGTTATGGAGACCCTGGGGTGGCCAAGGGCAGTGGTACTTGGAAAGTTGTCCTCGCACATCTGCCAGGAGGGGGGCTGGCACTGGCCAAAAGGGGTGGCTGGGCAGGGCCAGACCCTTCCAGAAGGAGGAGATTGGACGCACCCTGCTGCCCTGCCCAGGCACGGAGCTGGTCTTCTCCGTTGCTCTCCCGTCCTCCGCATCCTTGGGGACATTTTCAATGCCACCCTGCCTCCCCAGAGAAGCCCCTGCCCGCCAGGGTGGTCCTACCTGCCCTTCCGTGAGGCGGGGGTGATGCCTCATCCCAGCCCCAGAACACAGCAGGTCCTCGGTGGCTCTCTTCTGGCCGCGTTTCAGAACAATCCCTTGCAGCCCCGGGGAACGTGCCTCAGGTGGGGAAGCAGGGGGCCGTCCCGAGCGGCCACTGAGCCTCTCCTGGGGAGAAGCTGGTGTGCCCTTCCCCGGAAGTCCCCCTGCCTGCTGCTCTCTGCAGTGGCCTCCCCTGGTTGGCTCCGGCCCCCAGCGCGACACGGGACGGGAGTGGGGGGGCTGAGGACATCTGTGGGGCCAGAGAGCTGGGGCCACCCACCCACCACGCACATGGAGAAATCACAGCTTCTTGGGAACAGGAGGAAGACACTCATTAACCCCTGTCCAGACAGAGACCAGATCTAAGGCAGAGGTAATGGGTTTTTATTTTATGTTAAATTTCGCAGAAACTGTTCTCATGAATAACAACCTCCCCCCCCCCAACCTTTTGGGTGTGAGATACACAGATAAGACTACAAGAGTTGAGTGCAGCGGACACCTCCGGGGGGCAAGGGCATCTGGGGGGATGAACCCAGGCTGGTGTTCACTGGGGCAGCTTATTGCACATGTCCCCAAATGCCTAGACGGCTCTCTTATCTGGGTGCCCACACGGTGGCTTTAGCCTCTTAGGGGATAATCCACAGCTTTGATTAATACATCTCCACGTGGAGACCCTCCCCGAGTCTGCGTCTAGCTGTCAGTCCACCCTGCATGGCTGCTTTAAGACACTTCTGGTGTCACCCGGCCCCCCAGGGTACAGCCGGGCTCCACAGTCCCATTTTCTCTCTTGCTGCAGCAGAACCTTAGTTCGATTCCCATATTTCCAGGGAACTGAGTAACCCCAGCATCTCCCTCCTGCTTGGTGGACCCCTCTGTGCCAGGTCACCACTAGCAGCAGAACTGACCCCCCGGGGCGCGGCCTGGGGAGGGCCGTGGACCGCTGAGACCATGTGCATCACAGACCCCCGGCCCCGGGCGCACTGGGCTGTGGAACCGAAGAGTGAGCAACCGTGGTGACTGTAAAAGTTAAATCTTTCTATTTATTTCAAGAAAGGACAAGGAGGTGGACCTGGGCATCTTATATGAAAACAGACAAACAGAAAATAGGACCAAGTAGTTAAATCACATTCATCTCAACATTGAAGTTCAAGGCACCTACAGGAAGGAGGCCCAAGGGCTGTTCGCAGTGCACTTTGGTTGTGTTGTCGCGGTGGTGGGTGGGTGGCGGTTTTCTGGAAACCCCTGTCTGGTGGTGAGGTTGGGAGTGAGGCAGGCGGGCACCAGGCCAGGCACGGCTGGGCCTTGAGGAGCCAGGCCTGGTCAGCCAGCCGGGTCGGACGGCAGCAGGCAGCAGCGGGGGTGGTGCCATCGCTCAGACCCCCCGAGTGCGCTTTGCCCTTCAGAGAAAGAGAAAAAAGAGAAGGAGCGTGCAGCCAGGGGGCCGTGGGGCTGGTCCTACAGGTAGGAAGGCCAGGGGTCGGGGAGGCCGGGGCCGCTGGTGCAGGGACCCTGGGACGACAGAAGAGGCCTCGGCCCAGACTCGGGAGGGACCAGTCTGTCCAGCCGTGCCCCGTGCCAGCAGCCCACCTTAGTAGCAGGGGGCCTGTGTGTTCAGCAGGGTCGGGCGACCTCCCGGGCCCTTTCTCCCCTTCAGACCTCAGGGAAGGGCTTACCCTGGCACACTCAGGAGGCTTCTCGTACCCAGCAGGCAAGGAGGTGCTGAGAGTGGCTGGTAGACACTCTGCAGTGCCTGGGGGTTGGGGTCCTTGGGCCTCCCTGCTCACACCTGCCCGGTGGCTCCAACAAGCAGAATCACATAAACCACTGTCTCCCGCCAGCCTGTGACCACAGCCCGCTACCTCCCGGCCTTCAACATCATCTCTCCCTACTTCTCTCTCTCTCTCTCTCTCTCTCTCTCTCAGATGACAAGGATCCAGTGCCCAGGCCTTCCCACAGTTCTTAGCCTCTTTTAGGAGCTGGAAGACAGCAGGGTCCCCATCTGTGCCCTTGAACCTGCCCGGGATGCCCTGTGGGCTTCTCCGCTGAGGCTGCTGGCAGGTGGCTGTGCTGGGTTCTGGGGGAATATCTAAGGCTACTTTCAGGGTTGTGTGTGTGTGTGTGTGTGTGTGTGTGTGTGTGTGTGTGTGTGACTTCCCCCTTGGGGCCCAGAACCTTTGGAGAAAGGGACTAGTCGTGAGGGGTGGTCTGGAACATGCCAGCACGTCTTCCCTCTGGGCAGGTGGGAGCTACCCAGAACCCCTGGCTCTGGGGAGATGAGCCGGGCACCCCAGGTCCACCGTGGCTTTGATTGTCGGTCATGTCCTGTCTGGGTCTGACGGGTTCCTCCAGGCGGGCTGCAGGGTGCGGGTTCTTGGCGGGGGTGGCGGGCCCTCTGCTGCTGTACTGCCTCCAGGCAGGGCAAGGCTTGGGGAAGAGAACGTGAGTCACCCACGAGGCCGAAGCCTTGCTGGACCTCACGAATCCACGGCTCCTCCTCGGGCTCAGGCTCAGCCTGGAGATGCGCAAGATCCGCGGCGGAGTGGGGCGAGCTGCTTCCAAGAGAAGTGCCCGGATGAGCCACTCTCCATGCCAGGCCACCAGAGCAGCAGGTGTAGGACAAGAGGAGCCTGTTGGTGGCCGACACTCAGGCCTCGCCGTGCGGAGGACGTGAGAGGAGCCTGCAGGAGCAGGAGCGTTCAGTTGCTGGGAAGAAAGGATTTCCGGCGCTCCCGTGTGCCGGGCACTGCGTGGCCTCTGTGAGCTCCTGAGGGCAAGGGGCTTGCACTCAGACCCTGCCAGGGAGCAAGGGGACCTGGTCTCTCACCCATTGGCCATCCCAGTGGGAACTGTAGGGATTGAGGCCGGGGAGCAAAGACCTTCCTGCAAGGACCCCCTGGGTGGGGGTGGGGGAGGTCAGGGGCCGCTCCAGTGGCTACAGTGCCTCGGGGTCTGGCCTTGGAGGAAGTGGGGCTGGCCAGCCCATTCATCTGCACACTGCCCTCAGAGCGCCCACTCTGAAGCTGGGCACTTCAGGGATGAAACTTCACTTCAGCTTCCTGAAGCTGGAGCCGCCCCAGGGCCGAGAACTGCCCTGGCCATGAGGTCTCCAGGGCAGAAGAGAAGAGGTGGGGATCCTCCCCCGTGGTGGTGGGGGTCTTGGGCACACCTGTGAACCTCCCTCATGGTGAAAAAGTGGGTCCGACCCCAGGAATAACAGAATTTCCCAAACTAGAGAAGAGCCATACATTAAAAATGCCAAGGCTGGCGGGGAGCACAGACCAGAAGGGGGCCGGGCGGGAAGGGGGTGGAGAGCGAAAGGGATCTTTTTGTCAGTTTTTTTTAAAAAAGAAGCCAATGTAGATATTTCAGGCAACTACTTGGAACATTTCAAAAGAATCGTAAATGCTTAAAAACACCGAGTGAACAGTGCCCCAGGCGCCGTCAACTGGCCGTGATGGATGGATCAGCCAGCAACCTCCGAGTGCAGCCAGTGCGGCGGTGGCTGTGGGGAGGCTCAGGCTTGAGAGAACAGGCCCCGGGGCAGCCTCATCTGGAGCCAGAGGGCCGGCAGGTGGCCCCTGTCAGCCCTCGTGTCCTCACTTCCTGCTGGGGAAGCAGTGGCCTGTGTCTGTGCTTCTCCTGATGGGTCAAGGCTGGAACCAGGGTCTTGTTGTCAGCCCAGCTGGGCTGCCTGTCCCCATCTAGAGCTTGAATGCTCCTAGTGATGGGAAGCTCACTGCCTGATTCCTTTGTTGGGCCAGAGTCTGTCTTCCCTGCCTTCGGTTTTCCCTAGTGGTTGGGCTCCCCCTTTCCCTGGGCCCAGGGAGCAGGTCCCAGAACAGCAGTCCTACGAAGCCATCGCACCAGCCGCTACGCCACGGCAGGGCTCGTCTGAAGACAGGCAAGTCTGGAGGGCAGGGCCAGGGTCTCAGGCTGGGGGCAGGGACAGCTTCTGAAGGACACGGTGTCAGCCCTCAGAGACCCCCAGCTCTCCAAGTTGCCTGGAAGGAGCAGAAGAGCCCCTGCCCCTGCAGCCAGGCCCAGAAAAATCCCTGCTGTGTGGACTGCCCCTTGGGACAGGTCCATAAACCACAAAAAATCCCCCTTTCCCTTCACCTCCAAGGAGTTTAATCTCTCCTAATCAATTTAGCAGACTCGCTTGGTTGTAAACGGTAATGATTTGCATTTTTGAGCCTTTTTATCCCTCCTTAAGAAAAAAAATGCCTCCTCGTTCTGCATTCTGGAAGCCCGAGGACTGCTTGTTAGTGCTGGCCCTGGCGCCCCGCCAGCCGCGCCAGCTGCCTTCACCTGCACTGATTTCAGGATGAACAGGGAAACGGTGCATGGGACGCCCTGCGGACCCTGGCACGCCCTGGCCCTGACCCTGGGGTCTGGTCCTGGGGCGCGGCCACTGCGTCCCGCGGAGCCCGCTTCCTGCTCCCCTCAGCTCCCCGCCTGCCGCCTCCAATTTTCCTTGTTGTATTTTTCATAAGCGAGAGGCTCAGAAGCCCCGTCCTCCTGGCGCGTTCCTCAGGAAGCAGATTTCTGGAGTGGGCTGGCTTTGGGGCTTGAGCTGCTGTTGGCCAGGGTGGGATGCTGTCCTGAGGGCGTCCAGCTCCTGCTCTGTCCCCTCCTCAGTGCTGGCTCTGGGGGAGGGGCTCCAGCTGGCCTGCGGTCCTGGAAGGTTCTGGAAGTGCTGCCCATCACCCCCTGCTGCAGGATCAGACTCACCCCTCGACCCTGCAGGGATTCTCCTACCTGCCTTGGGCCAACTAGAATCTTCCAGAATCAGTGGGTGGGAGGGGCCCCACTTGGCCTTGGAGCACCCTGTTTTCCTGAGTGAAGCTAGACCCTGCCCCATTGCACCATCTCCCTCCTTCCTGGGCCCCTGGGGAAGGTGGAGGGACTCAGGGCCTGGGGAGGGTGGGAGAGCGGCTTGCAGGGCAGTGTGGGCTTGGGCAAGGAGGGCTGGGCCCTTCCTAGTCCCTGCCGTGTTCCAGTGAGGGTCACCTTCCCTGCCAACATCGCCCAGAGCAAGGAAGGAGCAGCCCCGAGCTTCTGCCCTCAACCCCAGCCTCCTGTCCCTGGTGGGGAGGCAGGAAGGGCGACCGTGGAGGCCGGCCAGGAAGCAGAGCCCACTTAGTGAAGACAGGCTTCCGAGGCAAGGGGGAAGCGGGGAGGGAAGAAAGGGAGCTTTTGATGCACATCATGTCTGCAGAATTGAGTATGACTAATTAATAGATTTTATTCTTAGTAATCTCTTAAGCATTCCATACGTTGGGCCCCGCGCCTGAGCTGAGCTTACAAGAGGCCTCATTCGCAAAATGCAAATGACACGCGGCCTGCTGCCTTCCCTCCTTCCTCGCCTGTTCTTTCCTTTCCAGTTTTTTTTTTTTTTTTTTTTTTTAGGGGAAATTTAAAGGAAAATTGCCATGTAATAGAAAAGAGATCCCAATCGCTACGTCTGATTACTACGAAGGGTAAACCACTTAACCAGAGATGTGTCGGGGCTGCTCTTCTTTAAACCTGAAACCTGTCTAAATGCCACCACATTCACTGGTCCATGCTGGGGCCAGCGAGGTGGTTCTGGCTGGAGGAGGCCGCGGCTCAGGGTGGTGGTGGGCATGTAGCAGCCCGCGGCAGGGAGGTCTTCGTGGGCCTGCGGGGTGTCGTCACCGCACACTTCTGAGCGGGGAGCTGGGCACCAGGCCCCTCCTCCCTCTTACAAGGGCTGGCCAGGCGGGGACGGGGCTCCAAAGGGGACTTGGCTTCAGCCACCCTCTCTGGCTTGGGGGCCCTGGCAAAGCAGACACTTGGTGGCTTGCCCTTAGAAAGGACACTGTGAAGGTCAGGGACAGAAAGGACTAGAAAGGATCCTAGAGGGGGCCCAGGGCCCTGGCTGGATGGTCTCCACCTTCACCAGCATTAGGACCCTGTGGGGGGTGAGGGGTGCCTCTCCTCCTTGGGGGCCGGTCAGGCAGACTCTGGTCTCTCCAGCCTGGTGTGACAGCCAGGGGAGCAGACCCACGTGGTCCTCGGGCTGGGTACTCTGTCCGGGCAGTCGGCAGGGCTCTGGCAGGCCTGAGCCTGCTCTATGGGAAGGGAGGGAGCTTTGCCACCCACCTGCTGCTCTCCAGCACTTGGGCCCTGGGCTCCCTCCCTGCCGAGCAGGGCCTTCTCAGTAGCTCTCAGAGGCGGGGCCACCTGCCACCCCTCAATGGCTTCCTGGCCATCAAGGGGGATTACCTGGCCTTCCCTGGGGCAGGGAAAAGAGGTGGGAGACCACGTGAGCTAGGGACAGAGCATGCTGACACTGCCATCTCACAGATGCAGGAGGGGTGACTTGGGGACCTGCCGTGGGGAGGCCAGAAGGGCCCGAGACCCTTTCCTGGGACCCTGGAGGATGCATTGCTTCAGAAATACAGAGCCCTGTGACTTCATCTCCCTGGCTAGTGCCATGTACCTGGCCCTCCTCTGAGCTCCCATTTGTGTTGCGGGGGCCCCCTCTGGTTCCTCCTGGCAGGTGCCACTGCCAGGCCTGCGTCTGGGGCAGCTGGCTGCAGCGGGGGCGGGGGGACTGATGTGCACACAGACCTGAAATTAAGGCTCGGGAAGCTACTCTCCTACCTCCTTGTGTGGGAAAGGATTCAGGCAGGAAAAAGGAACAAAAATGGTCTCCCTTAAACGAACCCTGCCATGCCCTGGGCACTCCCTGGGGCTGGAGGATCCGGTCCCTGGTTGGTGGGTGACGGCTTGGACAGCGTTGGGAGCCTGGGCCCCATTCTCCTCCCCTGGAGCAGCGGCTGGGTCCCCTTCTTTCAGCCCCACCTCTTCGCTGAAGAGCTGCTCAGCTCTTTTGACGTCCAGCGAGCGGACAGCACCCGGCACGTCGTGGGCAGTCCTGTGAATGCGGCTGGACTCTTCTTCCTGCCTTTGCTTTGGTCAGAGTGGCAGAGGCCTTTGAAGGTGCCACTGCCAGGAGCCAGAAGCCTCTCATCCTCCTGCCCGCAAGCCAGCATCTCTTCTCTGATGTCCCTTTTTCCTGGTGCAGGGCAAGTGGCGCTTTGACCAACAGTGACCCACGCTTCCGAGCACGGGAAGCAGCAGGCCTCAGAGCCCGGGCTGCGCTTCCCTCCTCTCCAGGGCCGCTGCCCGCGCTTCATCGTCGTGTTGACCTCGGAACACTGTCAGCCGATAAATGATGGCAGCATCCCTTCCAGCGGGAGGAAATGAAATCCCAGCTCTTCTGAGGGCCCCGTCAGAGCCTTTTTGGAGGCTGGCATTTTTAAAAAGAGATCTGGTCTCTCATTCCCGAGAACAGAGCCCCAGGTGTGGAGGCTGGTGTCTCCCAGTGATTTTCTGAAAATGTTCTCTTTCTGGGCTTTGTTTGTGCAACCGTGGAAACCAATAGATCCAATCAGCTGATTTTATATTAGCTATCAGTCCCTGCACTAATGACCTGCCCCAGGAGGAAGCACGCAGGAAACGCTATTGAGGTGACTACATCTATTTCGGGAGAAAGAGGGGAGATGAGGGTCCTGGCAGACCAAGAAGGCTTTTCTCTGTATCAGGAAGGAGCGTGGCCCAGCTCTGGCCACACTGAGATGGAATGGAAATGCAGGCCCCTGTGCCCAGCTCCTCCCTCACCCACCCCGCTGAGACACATGCCTCCGCCTCTGGAAACAGCAATACCCGCCACCCAGGCTGAGGCGCCTCCCTCCACCTACTCCCATCCCCAACACGTGGTTTTACTTACTCAATGATTTCTAGGAGAAAGCAACATTTTTGGAATTCTATTGTCTCAGGAAATGGTAAGAACTGACCCAAGAAGGACTTTAAGGACAGTCTATGCAGCTCTGTCTACCCATCTGGACTGAGAGACGTGACACAGATAGACGGGCAGACAGACGCACCTCCAGGTGGCAGGGAAAGCTACAGCTCCCGTCAGGGCGTCTACGGAGTACGCTGCACGGAGCTGAAGAACATTCAGCAGGGGAAAAAAAAAAGCTGGATTTTTTTTTTTTAATCGACTACATTAATTGTTCCAAGAACGCAGTGGAAGATGCCGTATTTCTGCAAATCTGTAAGGGAAATGGCATGGGAAGAACCGGGGAAGAGGTTTCAGGACAATATCTCCGTAGCGAAAGATCTCTTCTTCCCCCTTCTGCTTTGTGGGGGTCCCGAAATCCTTCCATCACATCGCTGCATGCGGGCTTCGGATCAGCTGCTTCTCCCTGACGGTTCTTTTGTGACGGCCCTGAACAGAGCGCGAGGTGTCCACAGACGTTGCACAGGTAGTATCTTCCCACTTCAGGAAAAAAAATCCCCAGCCCAACCCTTTCTGCAGTTATCTCTTTAGCCTTCCCTTCCCCAACTGGCGCGACGCGGTGTAAGTCACTCTCCAGCAACGCGGAATCCCCTCCTGCCTTCTATTCGTTTAGAGAAAAAAAAAAATTTTTTTTTTCACTGTCGTGTTCTACAAAATCGATGACCCTCCCCAAACTTGGCCTTCTGCTGGACGGTCGTCATGGACCTTCTCTTCCTTGCTCTCCTGGGTTGCAGCGGGCTGGGCGGAGCCTATCACCACCCCGGGTCGGCCTTGGGGACGGGGCTGGGCTGGGGCTGGGGGAGCCGGCCTCAGGTGTAGGAGTAGTCTATGTCGGGGATGCCGCCTTCCCGGTAGCCCCGCGTGGTGCCGTAGCCGATGGTGTGCGTGCCCTTGCAGAGGCTGCTGCCGTTGGAGGGGAAGATGGTGTGGACCACGTACTCCTCTTTGGCGCGGTAAGGGTTGATGGGCAGCATTTGCAGCCCCGGGCCACGGATTTCCAGAATGGAGTTGTCCTTCTTGGTCCCCGACTCCATATAGTCGTCCTTCTTGCGGCTGCCTCGGTGGTAGGCCCTGTCCCGGGTCAGCAGCTCACCAGCCCGGTGCACGTACCAGCAGATGGCCCCCAGGACCAGGAAGAGGAAGACGAGAGCCACGGCCCCACCGATGATGCCGGCCAGGGGCAGGCCTGCCACGGGGCCGGCGTTCTGCTCCTGGTTGAGCGTGGTGGTGGGGCCGTAGCTGTCGGCGGTCTCTGCCTTGGCACACACCGGCGTCTCGTCGGCCGCGTAGGTATTGCCGGTCTCCATGGTGACCATGCAGATGATGTAGGTGGACTTAGGCTCCAGGGCTGTCAGCAGGTACTCGGTCTTGTCCCCCTGCACCAGGGTCTCTGTGATGGAGCCTACGGCCGGGCTGTGGCCCAAGCGCAGCCAGCTGAGCCGGAAGGAGGAGGCAGGGAGCGTGGCCTTCCACGTGATGCGGATGGAGTCAGCCGTCAGGGGCTTCACCTGGATGACCAGGGTCTTGGCACCGTCACCCGTGGCCATGGGGTAGTCGATGTTGGAATCAGGGAGGCGCAGCCCAGGCCTCTTGGCCTTGAGGGTGAAGAGCGAGCCCTGGGGCGTGGTGGCGGAGGCGTGGTTGCTGGCCGTGGTCTTGGCCGCCGCGTTGGCCGCCCCACTCTGTGACCCTGTCTCAAAGCACTCGTCCATCTCGCTGGTGATGTCCTTGATGGCCATGCCGCGGACCTTCTCGGGGCCCTGGCACATGAGGCCCCGCACGTTGACCACGGCGGCCCGTGCCTTCACCCAGTCCCGCAGCCACATGAGGTTGCAGCCGCAGAACCAGGGGTTGTTCCGGAGCAGCAGCTGCGCCAGGTTCCCCAGGTCGTCGAACAGGCCGCGGGGCAGCGTGGTGAGGTTGTTGTTGGACAGGTCCAGCCGCTCCAGCTCGCGCATCTTGGCCAGCGTGTTGTAGGGGATGTGGCTGATGGCGTTGTCCTGCAGGTAGAGCTTCTGCAGGTGGGCGCTGGGCAGGTTGAGGGGCGGGGCGGCCAGGGAGTTGCGCACCAGCGAGAGCTCCGTGAGGTTCTGCAGGCGGCTGAAGGTGTCGTCGGCGATGCGCTGGTTGGCCAGCAGGTTGCCGTCCAGCACCAGGCGCCGCAGGCTGTTGAGGCCCTTGAAGGCGTGCAGCGGGATGGTGGAGATGCGGTTGTCGTCCAGCCGCAGCTCCTCCAGCGTGTGGGGCAGCCCCGAGGGGATGCTGCTCAGGTGGTTCCGGCTCAGGAAGAGCAGCTTGAGCTGTTTGCTGTCGGCAAACGCGTCCTCCTCGATGCTGACGGTGGACACGGAGTTGTCGTCCAGGTGTAGCTTCTCCAGCAGCGGGATGCGGGCCAGGGAGTCGCGGGCGATGGTGCGCACGTTGTTGTCCTGCAGGTGCAGCTCGCGCAGGGACCGGGGCAGGTTGATGGGGAACTCGTCCAGGTCGTTCTCGTACAGGTAGATGACCTGCACGTTGGCCTTGGTCTTGAGGTCCTGGGGGATGCCCGCGTTGTTGATCTGGTTGTTCTGCAGGTACAGGGTGGTGGCGTCGTCGGGGATGTCTGCGGGGATGGAGGTGAGCCCCCGGTCGTTGCAGTAGATGAAGCCATTGTCACAGCGGCACACGGAGGGACAGGTGGTGCTGTCGATGACCTCCGTCAGGAAGGCGATCAGCCCGTAGCAGAGGAACAGCCAGTCCCGCAGGTCCATGGTGGCCGTAGTCATCACAACCGTGGCCGTGACGGTGGTGGCAGGTGTGGTGGTGGCGGTGGCAGCAGGGTGTGCCACCACCATGGTGGACGGCTGGGGGAGCCGGGCCCCACCTCACCTGGAGCCTCAACACCTGCAGAGAGCACAAGACAGGTGACAGGAGGACACAAGACAATGACAGCAGCCTGAGAAAGGAGTGGCGTGCCCAGCCGCCTGCTGCCCAGGGGTCATCGCCGTTCGTCCGGCAGCGCCACGCCAGGCTTAAGGCCCAGGTGGGCTCTCTGGCCGAGGCTGGGCTCAGTAACGTTGGCTAACGCCACATCCCCTTCCAGGAGCTAAACCGGCGCTTTCTGCTCCCGGGTGTCACCGGGAGGCTTGGGGGAGGTTAGTCCCAGCCACTGGGCTGCAGCTGGGCCCCTCGCAAGATTTCATGCTAAGCCACTTTTATGGACCCTGCTAAAAGGTGCCGGTGAGTGTGGAGGGGTGCACTCGGGGCATGCTGTGTGGACTTGGAGCCGCCGTTTCCCCCTGGAACGGACAGCGCCCAGGGTCCGAAGGGAAAGCTTTTGAAAGGCCTCGGAGCTCGCAGCGGGTGTCGCTGGGACCTGGCAGCTGTGTCACTGGTGGGTGGCGAGCACCGAGCTTCATTGTCTGGTGGCAAAACACCTTCTCCTGCTTGTCGCTGGTACACTTTATAGACAGGAGGAGAAGGTGTCAGCAGAGCGGCTTTCTTGTGTATTTACAGAAATCACTCGTTACAGAGGCGCCTTCCCGGGCCCCGCGTTCTGTGCTGAGTGGGAACTCATTCCACACCTTGCCCTTCCCCATCCCCAAACTTTCAGCTCTTCAGAAAAGAAAAAAAAGTGTCTATGCCTATCTGGATCTCCCTCTCTCTCTCTCTATATATATATATCGGCTTTCTTGCATTTACAGAATTGAGACAAATAAGCGGGGAGGCGGCGTCTGCACGCTGAGGGAATTGTCAGCAAGGTGTAATCTCAGTTTTCACAAATGGAAAAATTGCGGCGTAGATTTTTCTCATATTATTTTACTGTTCATAGTGGTAAAAAAAAAATCAATTAAAGAGAAATTATCTTTCCGACTCAGTAGGGTAGGCGTCTCTGTACAGGTGGCAAAGGTCTTCTGGGAAACTCCAGGGTCAGAGACTTTCCTTGGTGGGACATGATGGCTTCTCAGGCCTGAGCCAAGGCTCCAGCCTGGGAGGGCCGCCCGGAGGGTGGAGGAGAGCCAGCACCTGGCTCGTGCCACAGTGACTGAGTGTCTTGTCCCCATACCAGGCCAACCCTGTGTGTTCCTGGCCGGCTACTCTCTCCACCCTGCAAACTCGTCTTCACCGTCCAGGACCCAGTTCTGCTAAGTCCTCCAAGTACCCCAGGGAGAGTGTCCTCTGCTCCATCCACCCCTTGTCCATGCTTCCATCTGCCAGTCCTTCCATGCATCCGGCAATCCACCATATCCACCCACTCTCTGTCCACCCATCCACTTGCCCACTGACCCATCGTCCATGCCTCTATCCATCCATCCATCACACCTTACTGAGCATCTACCATGTGCCAGCTTCCTGGGGCCCCATTCTGTGGGCACAGTAGCTCACACTGTAATACAGACTTTGCTTAGATCTTTCTGAATTTTTAAGTCATTTAATTCTCCCAGCAAACGTGGAATCAGTGTTCCTTTTTTTTTTTTTCTGTCAATACTGGGAATCGAACCCAGGACCTTGCCCATGCTAGGCAGGTGTTCTGCCACGGTGAGCCACATCCCGGCTCCCGTGAGAAAGCCAAAGTTTAGAGACGTCGACTTTCTCAAGGCCGATTGAGACGTGGAGGGGAGGCCCGGCTCTCTGGGTCACAGGCTGCAGCCCCTCACTGCCGGGCTCGCAGCTCCGAGTGTGGTGTGCTGTGGGCACTTGGTGTTTTCATGCTCCTGACCAAACTGTGGTGTTAAAGGCAGGTCCTGTGGCCCTGTGGCCCTGTGTGGCTTGGCATTAGTGACCACCCAGGATGGGAGGGAGCAGGCCCTGAGTTGTCCTTGCACCCTTAGACTCCTCTGGTATCCACATGGACTTCCGCTTGGCCAGCCCAGCAGAGCTCCCGCCTGGCCCTGGCGTATGCATGGGCCCCTCTTAGGGCCTTGGTGGCATAGGGCTTTGACCATGAGGCGGACCCAGTTCAGGTCCTGTCTGGAAGCAACTGAGGGCGAGGGAGGGGCGTGCAGGGTGCAGGGCCTGCCCCAGAGCTGGAGGGCGAAGAAGCCCCAGCCCAGGCCAGGCAGCCAGGACCCCAGTGGCCCCTACTCACATCTCTGGAGACTGGGGATTGGCCTTGGCTTCCCGAACACAGAGCCCAGCGCCCCCTCCCCTGAGCTCCCTGCTGTGTGTGGTGTGGAAAGCTACCAACGTCTCTGTTGTCTGTTTCCTTGGTGACCCTGACTCCCAAGCCGGTCTCTGACCCCCTCCTTCTCCTAACTCCCTCTGATCCAGAGCCTTGCCCCCTGTTCTCCAGCCCCTTCTGCCCTCCTGGGCACCCAGAGTCACCTGGAAAAGTCCTCATGTCACCGCCCCCCCAAAGCCCTCTAAGACCCCACGGGAGCCTGGTGTGGTGGTACACATGCAATGCCAGCAGCTCAGGAGGCTGAGGCAGGAGGATCACAAGTTCAAAGCCAGCCTCAGCAACTTGGCAAGGCCCTAAACAACTTAGCAAGACCCTGTCTCAAAATAAAAAATAAAAAAGGGCTGGGGATGTGGCTCAGCGGTCGAGTGCCCCTGAGTTCAGTCCCTGGTACAAAAAAAAAAAAAAAAAAAGGTCCTCATCTAGGAGGCAAGTGGCACAACCCAGCAACTTTGTGCCTTCTTCGCTGCTGTGTCCCCTGGGCCCATTGTGTAGACGAGGAAACTGAGGCATGCGAGACTTGCCCCTGTCCCTGGCCTCCACCCCAGGCCCCTCTCACTGTGGGACCTCATGGCTTGACCAGAGTGCTCTGCTGGGGACGAGTCCCCGCCTGCCCTGGGCACAGTGGTGGCGAGGGGGGCTGCAGCTGGGGGCTCTGTGGTGCCTCCTGCCTGCTCGGCCTGTGGCGTAAGCAGAGCAGATGGACACGTGGGCACCCAGCCCTCACCTCTCATTGCCTCTGGGACTAGAAGGGCACCCACCAGGTCACGGCAGAGGACAGTCTTGAAGCAGAAGATGGCATGTGGCCCAGGCAAGCCAGCCTTCAGGGCACGGGGACGGGTGAACCCTCAGGCCAGGCCTTGCCTGCTCCCTCTTCCCAGGTGACAGGTACAAAGGCCCACGGGGGGCACCTTGCCTGACCGTCACCTTCACACAGGTCCTTGGTTCTGTTTTGCAAGGGACCAGGCTGAGGCTCTGAGCTAAGGGGCCTGTCCAGGGTCACAGCCCGCCCAGGCTGCCAGCTCCCCTTTGGGTAAAGAGCCAGGACCACGAGGGGTGTGGAACCTGTCCCAGGGGCTTATCAGCAGGGAAGGCGGGCGGGCAGTGGGGCCTGGAGCCAGGAAGACCCAGACCCGCTCCAAGGCCACCTGTCCTGGTCTCTGGGATCAAGTCTGAGCTCTGCTGCCCAGCCCTGCACCTGGCCCGAGGACACACACCCTCCCTGGTCTGTCACTGCTGAGTCTGGCGCGAGGGACCCCGTGGCTTCTGCCCTTGGCTGTGGCGGGGCAGACTTGTTAAGGCCAAGGCCAAGGCCAGCCACCACATTCTCTGGCATGGACATCTGTTCCTGGCACCCGCTCAGCTCGCATGGCCACGGTCTTGAGCCTCCAGAGGCCCCGGCGTCATAATAGAGTCTAAATTGCACCTTTCAGAGATACGTGATGGATAACCGGGACGCGCGGGAGGCAGGGACCCAAGGCCTTTCCGCTCCTCCGTCTGCCGGCTCATCCATCTTGGCCAGAGTCTCCCCTGCCGCCCCCGTCCCCAGGGCCAGCCTGGAGAGTGAGCCCTGGGGCTCCAGGAACAGGGGAGCCCGGGAGGGGAGAGCGTCAGCAGGTGGCACCTCGCCAAGGAGCCCTTAACTTCCCCGGGCGGTTGCTTCTTGTTGTGTGTTTGGTAGTTGATGTGGCCATCAAATTAAACCTGGTAAATGGCCCATCTTTTACGGGATCACCTGTCGTCATCATGCAGACTCCACTGAGGTGTGAGTTATGACCTGCCGGCCGTGTGACTGACAGCTGTGTGCCGCTGGTGGTGGAGGAGGGGAGCCGCAGATGACTTAGGCTGGAGGTCCCCCTTGGCTGAGGGGGGCTGCACTTCATTCTTGGTGCCCTATCTGTTGCTGGCTCCCGCCACTTTCCAGGATAGACAATTCTGGGTTCAAGTCCTGCCTCTGCCACTTAGCAGGCTGTGTGGTTTTGTGCACCTTGCTTGCACTCTCTGAGCTGCAGTTTCCTCATCTGTATGTCGGAAACTTACAAACGAGAGGACGATGAGTTGATACTCCCAGAAGCTCCTTGTAATGCAGCCTGTGTGTCCTTGATGCCTGGATTAAAAGCTGCCCTGTTCTCTGGCTGCCCCCTACCTGCTCGTGGCACCTGGGGCTCGTCTGTGTGGCCCCTTCTTCACTGACCTGCTCCTACTTGGCAGTGGGCATGCTCCCCGTTGGCAATACCCTCCCCCACTGAGTTGGAAACAGTGACCCCAAGCCTGGGCCACACAAAGCCAGCAGCTGGTCCCTGCAGCACCAGGCCCTCCCGTGTGGCCCCAGCCCCTGTGGGAGGCTGCCTAGGCCCGGGGTGGGGAGGGACCTTCGGCCCACGGTTCGGCTCTTTTCTTGGACCCCCTGGAATTCTGACATGCCACACTGTCTCCAGCAGTGCCCCTGGCCCTTTGCACATGCTGTTTCTGCTCCTGGGCCATCATTACCCTTCCCCTTGTCCCCACAGGCCACCTCACTCTGCCCCAGGCCTTGACTCCACTGCCCCCCCCATGAAGCTCTGTGGGCTGCGGCTGGTCCGCTCGGCTCCTGTACCCCCTGCCTGGAGCAGCAGGGTCTGGCAGCACCTGTCACTGTCCACCAACTGGATGGTGCCCAGTTGTCACCCCTGGCTTCCAGGCTCCTGCTCTGTCGTCTTCCCCAAATCCTGCCAAGCCGGGACTGGCAGAGGCCCCAGGGAGTGGGGGTGAGCCCCCAGGACACCCACTCTGCCGGCCTGGGGGGACAGCGGCACACTCCTGAAGGAAGCCAGGCTGGGCCGGAGCCAGGGTCCCAGCTGCCGGTCCCAGCTCTCCTTGTTTACCAGTGAAGGCAGCTCATCCGGGGACCTCCTGATGCGGGTCCCCAGAGGAAACAGGGAATTCTGGGTTCACTGGCCCCAGAAAGGAGACGTGGGAACTAGAAAAGAGCAGGAGGTCCTAGGAGCCGGGTCCACAGGTGGCGTCCCCGCCCCCGCTCTCTGGGCCTCACTGGTGCCATGTTGTGGAGGCCCCCATCTTCCTGGGAGGGTGGTGATGGCGGGGTGTCAGGTGGTGCACGAGGCCCAGGCCCTGACTGGTTTGGAAGGGGAGCTTCTGCCCCCAGGAAGAGCCCAGGGCCTGTTCCGAGCAGGGCTCCGGGCAGCTCCCACATGCCTTTTCCTCAGAAGGAGGCCAGGGCAGGAGCGGAGTGGGGAGATGCCCAGCCCCCGAGGCAGCTGGTGGCCTGGGCACAGGAGGCGCTGGGCGCTCACTTCTTGCCAATAATGCCTGGGCTCCCCATGCTGGGGGTGTCGCGGGTGGACGCCCTGGTCAGGGAGCCCAACCCAGAGGCCTGAGTCCGCTCCAGAGCCAGGAGCCTGGGCTGGCCTCTGCCAGGCCTTTCCCCGCACATGGTCCTGCAGACAGATCCGAGAGGGGCTCAGAGCAGCTCAGGGCAGGCTGAGAAGCCCACGTGTTCCAGACACTGGGGTGGCACCTGACAGGTGGCCCTCCTTCTCCACAGCGCCCCCCACGCGGGGGCCTCCCTTGGTGCCTTAAGTTCCCTATACACCTGGCCTGGGCCGTGCTCCTCTTTCCCTCTCCACAGGGCCAAGTCCTGCCCTCCCTCCCCTCAGGCCTCAGCCTTCCCTGAGCAAGCTGCCTCGACTGTCGGGCCCCTCCTGAACCCGCAGCGCTCTCACCTTCCTCTGTGACGTGGTCCCCCCCATTGAACCCTCTCTCCAGTGTCCTTCGCAGCTCCTGCAGCTGCGCTCAGGGTGCAGAAGACCCTCTGGGGCCGCTGCTGAGCAGGGGGGGCCAGCAGGCTGTCCTGGGAAGCCAGGGTCAGGGGTCTCAGAGGGGGCCAGTAAGAGAGGGCGAGCATCCAGCCCCCTTAACATTTTGGTGGGAAACTAAACACGTGCTCATGACTGTGAGGCTTTGAAGCTGCGGAGAGGAGGTTGGAGGCCACCTCTCGCCACCCCACTCCTTCCGCTGGCCCGTCGGGCACTGCGCCTTCTCTGCCAACCTACTGGCCAGCCCTTGGCGGTGTGCCCACATGGCCTGGCGTTGGCCTGGACTGCTCAGACCCCAGGGCCCTCTCCCCGCCAGCAGCTGTCCTGGGGGCTCAGCTGTCAGCTAGACGGAGGGAAGAGGCCTGCAGCAGCCTGGTGCTCAGGGCGGCCTGGGGGGCGTCCCCTCCCCACCCTCCCAGGAAGGCCCTCTCCTAGGAAGGTGAGTAGCCTGGCAGCCAGCCAGGGATCTGTGCAGCTGCTGGGCCTGCTGAGAGGTGGCCTCCAGTCTCAGGTCCTCTGTACAATGGGACCATAAATGATCAACTTCCCCAGGCTCTTGAGAGCATAAAATAAGGTGACTCCAGCGCCTGGCAGAGTGTGTCCAGAGTGAGGGAGCCACAGTCACCAGCCCTAGGTGGTGGCATTTAGGTGGTGGCACCTCCCCAGGTGCAGGTGCTAGGGGGCCAGGCAGGGGAGCCTAGACTGTTAGAGGGGCTTTCCCAGGTCCTCATCAGGTCCAGAGCCCACAGACCCATAGTGGATTCCCTCATGACAGTGGACCAGATGTGTGACCCTCAAGGACCTTCTAACTCTGTCACCTGCAGGTGCTAGCCAGCTTCACCCATCGCCCCAACTTCACTTCCAGCGCCTGTCCAGTAGTGCCACCCAGCACTGGGGATGCGGTGGGGTGGGGGTGGGGATCCTTTTAAAACCTAAAGTTAATTATTTTTCTAATTTCCAGCTGCATGCATTATGCATCAGCTGTTATGTTGGCGGTAATTGCAGACAGGTATGCAAATCCACTAGATATGCGCAGCCTGTGCCCTAGCCCGCCTGGGCCATCGGGGTGGGGCCGGTGCCCAGAGGCGGGCTTCCTGGGCCTCAGAGAACACGGATGGCTTCAAAAAACCAGACTTTAACGGTGTGTCTTGGGAGGTTAATTATATTGATGACACTGTTCCATATTCAGCTATTCGGGCCGGAAGGGGTAGTGGCGATGAAAGGAGACACGAGTAACTTTGTTTCTGCCTCAGCATCATTTAATCAGGCGCCCCCACCTGACGCTGGCCTGCCTGCACTGAGACCCATCCCCCTGGGAAGCAGAAGGAAAGCCCAGTGGAGGGTCAGCGGGAGGAGAGTCGATGGGCATTTATTTTGTGGGGGGCTACGTAGAAGGAAGGCAGGGCAGTGCCAAGACCAGGGTGGGGTGGCCAGAGGGTCTGTGTTGTTGGCTCCTCTGCCACCTGCAGGATCCTGGGCCACAGCAAGGGAACCAGAGAAGCTCGTGGGCAGGAAACACCGCTGGTGACTAGGCTTCCTGATCCGGAGTCAGAGGGTCCCTGGGAGCTGGGGCCTCTCAGGAACCATGGGTGTCCCTGACCTGCTCCTAACGAGACCCCCCTGTTTATTTACTACCAGTTTCTTTGTCCCCAGGGGATCGTCTGGCTCCTCCCTGGCATGAAGGGGCCCTGAAACAACCACTGAATCAATGATCGAGGCCCTAGCACCTAGAACCCGGGACTGACTGGGTAGAAGGGATGAAAGAGGGAGGCACCGTCCCAGGAAGTCACCGTGACCCTTGTCACAGCCACCCAGACAGGCAAAGGGCTTAGTCTGAATTGTGCAGTAGGCCATGAACCCGGCACGAGCCTGGGCCTCCCTAGAATCACCGCCCGGCACCTTCGCACCCACCTTCCCCGGGCTCGGCTCTGCAGGGAGCAAACCCTTGAAGACCTGCTCACCACCACAGGTGGCTGGCTACAGGGGCATCTCAGGCATCTGACCTGGGCCCACCTTCCCAGCTTGAAGGCCTCTTCCCCTTCCTGCCCACCCACAGATGCACACGAGGGGGGACCCCAGCCCCAGGAGCGCGGAATCTGGGGGCAAAAAGGACTCAGAGATAGTCTGTGTTCTACAGATGAGGAAAGACTGAGGCCCAGGGTGTAAGAGGGACAGGCCCAGCACAGAAGTCAGCCCTCCCCGGCGGCCACCTCCAGCCTTGGCAAGAGTAATAGGTGCCAAGTCAAATCCTTTCCTGGGGGTTTGGCCCAGGAAGGGTGATGGTGGGCAGCGTCCCAACTCAAGATGGTCTCGTGGGGCTGTTTCCCACCCTGAGCAGGTCAGGAGACACCTTGTACCCTGTGGACTCAGGTGGGGTAGTGTTGGCAGTGTCCTTTCCCAGCTGGCCACTGCCCCTCAGGGTCTCAGTCCCTTAAGCACACAGGGGAGAAGGGACCTGCCTGAGGTCACACGGCTCACACCTGAGGGCCAGAGCCCAGCCCAGGTGTGTCCGGCCCCTCAGCCCATCTGGTCCTTTTTGTGCCTCTGCCGCTGGAGCAGCTTCACCATCAGTACTTGGGCAGCAGGCCTGGGGACAGCAGCTGCCCCGGTCTGGCTCGGCCTCCCCAGCGGGAATTGCCCGGGAGAGGGTAGGGACCAGTGCTGGGCCGCGGAAGGGATGTGGGGTGGGGAGGTGGACGGGGGCAGGGGCGCGCTGGGGCTCACCGCCACGGCCCTGCTGCCTGCCGGGCTGGCGCGCCTTCATAATAAATAACAGCAAATAGCCCATCCGCAGGGCATCCTTCACGCCGGTGGCTAATAACACGGCTATTAATGCCCCCGCAGCCGGCGTGCGCTGCGCCGCGCTGACGGATGTCCCAGGCCCTGGCGCAGTCATAAATCAGCCCCTCTCCTGGGGCAGAGCGCAGGGAAGTGTCATTTTCCATCTTGGTAATGAATTGGGGCTTCCCTGCCCTGCCCAGGGCGCCGCTGCTTGAGGTTGCCTGGGATGTGTGTTTGTGGAGGCGTGGCCCTCCCTCCCGAGCAGGCCCCGCCCAGGAGGAGCAGGCCCCGCCCAGGGGGAACAGGCCCCGCCCAGGGGAGCAGGCCCCGCCCAGGCCACTTCAGATCTAAAGAGGGAGCGCTCAGAACCTTCTGTGTGACCCTGTGGCACTCACTGCTTGTCTCTGGGCCTCAGCTTGCTCCTCTCACCAACCAAGGGCCAGCACTGGAAGTCAGAGCAGATGATGTCCGGCCAATAGAAGCCGGGCGACAGCTTTGGATCGTCCAGTCAGAGCAGGGACAGGCCCAGAGGGACAGGTCTTGTGGCCATCCTCCAGTTCAAGGGTAACAGGTGCCAAGGCCAGTGGCCTTGGTCCCCAAAGCTCCTTCCCTAACCCACGACAAGGCCTCCCTGCGACGAGGTAGCACATCTTTCCTGCCTGAGCAAGCTGAAGCCCCACGTTTTGTAAAATTGTGGCAGGCGGCAATGGAGCCCCAGACCCGGGTGCTCTGCTGAAATGCCCTGTGTGACCAGGTCAGGACGGGGGCCTTTAGAGGAGGGGGCCCAGCTGTCTTGTGCCCTCTCTAGGCATGAGGAGCCCTTGGGCACCTCTGAGGGCCACCCTGGGCCCTTCCACCTCCACCTCCCTCAGTCTTACCTCCTTCACGGCTGTCAGTGGAGCCTGCGGTGCGACTGGGGTCTTGCTCCAGGGGCTCCTGCCAACGTTGCTGCGGGCTGGGCAGCGGGCTGCTCTCACATTCCTGCCCCAGGGCCCCGACAGGCCAAGCCCACTCCGGTTATAGCCTGCAGACCTGGGTGGTGGGCAGCGCTGCTGCTGCACGTGAGGACCCTGTGCCTCTGACTTCCGGGCTCCCCTGCCCAATTCAGGCAAGGCTGCGGGTCCCAGGCAGCATCCTTGTGGTCCTCGACCTGGGGCGCCGCTGGCTCCTCCCGCAGCAAGGGTCCTGCGCTCGGAGTGCACAGGGGCAGCCCCGCGGCCTGGGGGGCTCCCGGGTGGGGCCTGCGGGCGTTCTGACCCCCTGCTCCCGGGGCATGCCCTACCGACCCGCGCCCATCCGGGGAGCAGCCTGGCTGCCTGTCACTTCCACGGCCCTCTTTCAACTTTTGCCCTTTGTCTGCAGGCGGCCACCTCCTCTGAAAGGCGGCTGCGTGGCTTTTACCCCCTTTTTCTTTACCACATTTTTTTTCTTTTTTAAATCCCTTTAAGTCACTTGGCAGAATGGGTTGGTGCAGAGAGCGTTCTTGCGTGACAGAGCTGAGAGGAAGCCGCTCTCCAAAGAATCGGGATTCCTGCCACTCAGGCTGGCCTCCAGGGGAGGGAGGGGCCGCCCCCCGCCGGGGAGTTCAGACGTTGGCGGGCCTGAGCCGATGACTGGGCCCCTGAGCTGTCAGGCCCCACGAGCCCTGCTTGGAAAGATGCTTTGGGCTGCGGGGGGCTCGGTCTTGCTTGGCTGCCCCTGTTTGTGGAGAAGCTTCTCTTGCTTTGGGGGGGACTATTCCAGCTTCACTCCCTGGTCTTGTCTTCCAAAGAAGAGTCCTTCTCACCGACTCCCTGCCTCCTCACCTGCCAAAAACAACACAAGCCATCAGGCCCAAGGAGACGAGGCCGGGCGGTACCACTTGCAGGGCGGGGGCAGCCTGGGCTGCAGACCCAGGGCCTGGCAAACAGTTTCCCTCTGAGCAATACCCCCAGCCCGGAGCCTGTTTTCTTGAATGTCACTTCCCTAGGATCCAGGGACCTACTGGGATCACTGTTCCGCATCTCCCATCTCTTTCCAAACCCACATAAGGAACAGCTGGCCAGGCCCAGGGCCCTTCCTTAGAGCTACCTGGTTTCCTTTTCCCTGGGGCAGAAGGAATGGGAAGAGCAGGGCCACCTGCCCAGCCCAGGGCTGGCTGTTTCCCCAGCACCTGCCCCTCTTGGTAAATGTCATTCAAAGGCTCCAACTGGACCACTACAGCCCAGGCTTCCAGAACAAGCTGCTTTTCCGACTGGGAGGTACGATCACCAGGGATCTGGGAAGTAGGTCTTGGTGTCCCTGGCTGCTGGTGTGAGGCCACGCCATCTCTTAGGCGGGGTCAGTCCTGCACAACTCCACTGCTCTGCCCTTTTGCAGAGACCCGGGGTCAGGGCAGGCTGTTCTTGGGAATCCTAAAACAAAACCAGAGCCCCCCACGCCACCCCTCATTAGCGTGGTGTGTGAAAGGCCTGGGCCTTGGTGTCCGGTTCCCCACGGGTCCCTGCTTTGGAAAAGGGCTTTCATGACACATCTGAGAGCAGAAGTGCTGGTTTAACAGATCCAGAGGGGCTCAGCTGCCTCTGGGGGCTTTTCTTTTGGGGGCCAGAGGTGGCTGATTTGAGAAATGCTCATTGTTACAAACAAAAACCAGGCACCACACCCCAGGTGTCTGTTCACGAGTACACAGCCGGCCGGGAACACGGGGCAAGAACGCGTGTCAGGGCGAGGGGGCTGCCAAGGTGAGGCCGGGCTTCTGGGTACAGGTGGCAGGAGGCCTGAGGCCAGCAGGCTTTGTGGGGGGAATCCTGAGTGGCCAGGCCTGGCCAGCACTGCAGGTGAGGTGGGCAGGTGGCCGGGGCCCCAGGGAGGGCAGGAGACTGCAGTCCGAGCCCTCATGCTGTCCCCACCGGTGCGATTCATCCAATTATAAATTGTAATTTCTCTGTGAAAGCGAGAGGTGGAAAGAGTCCAATGAGGTCACCTGCCTCCTTGGCCAGGCCAGGAAATTGTTTTGTCACTGGGGTGGGGGTGGGGCGACTGGACCTCAGTACATGGAGATGGAGTCCTGGGAGCCCAGATGCTCCAGCCGCCTCTTCATGACAGACACAAACCACCCTCTGCCTTTGAGATTGCAAATCCAGGAAGGAGGCGGCTCATACACAGGTATGTTCCCCCTCGGCGCCACCCAGGGCTCCGGGGACAGGCACACTGGGAAGTCCTCCAGGGCCTCCCAGGGCCTGGCCCTGCGCAGCCCACCCATGGACATCTCCTAACACAGGCCCATCCCTTTGCTGCTCCCCTCCCATGAGCGTCCTCTCAAACGTCACCCTCCCTCTCTCCCTCCCTGCCATATCGCCACCTTCCCTCTCCAGGCACGCGGCCCCACTAAGCGTGACTGCAGTGACATAGCACAGGAAGTGAGCTCCCTGGCTTCGAGGGAGGATATAAGGCTGGATCTTCCAGCATCTGGCTCCGTACCGTGCACACAGAAGGTGCTTAATAAGTGCACCCAGAAAACTCTCATTCTGCTTCCTCATTTAGAAAACCAAGGGTCTGAGCCAGGCTCTTGGTGGGCCTGTCCAGCTTTGCACACCCTGGTCAGCCTTCCCTGCTGGCCCCCCACCCATCCCCCGCATCCTCCCAAGCCTCCTGGGAACCTTAGTGTGCAGATACTGGGCTCCTGGGGGTCCCCACCACGGGTGAGTGGGGCCACGTGGGCGTGGGGGGTGCATGGGCTTTCCAGGTGAGCCTGGCTGGCAGTGGTTGGGAAGCATGAGCTCTGGGCAGCGCTGTGGCTCTCCCCACGTGTGGCTGCATAATGACGATCATCAGTGGCCACCTGCATTCACTGAACCAAATGCGGCCCAGGAATACATATGTAAATGTGTCTGCCTGGCAGACGCCTCGGCCAGAGCCTGGCACCCATGGCGAACTGGGTTGGTAAAGCCACAGCAGGCAAAGCTCACGGCTCTGGGCAGACTTGCCACATGATCAGTTGGGTCAGCCAAGGACAAAAGGATCCATGGGGTCCCAAGGGATCAGGAATGGGGGCCTCTTTAGACTCTGGAGAGGTGACAGCTCTGTGGAGCCCCTCTTACCTGGGCCTTCTCTGCTCCCACAGGCTCCAGGTCTCTGCACCCCCCCCCTTTTTTTTTCTGACATGCTTACCCAGTTTTATTTTGTTACTAACAACAACATCACAGCTGCATTAAAAGAAATTTGAAAGGAAAGAGCAAACGGGCCAGGTGGCGCATGCCTATGATTCCAGTGGCTTGGGAGGCTGAGGCAGGAGGATCGTGAGTTCAAAGCCAGCCTCAGCCAGTTAGCGTGGCCCTAAGCAACTCTCGAGACCCTGTCTAAATGAAATACAAATAAAAGCTGAGGATGTGGCTCAGTGGCTAAGCCCTGCTGGTTCAAAGAAAAAAGGAAAGAAGCCAGCCAAGCCCCCAGTCCTGCAGATCTGCACCTCCTTTTGCATTTTGGCAGATCTGCCTGTCCATTCCCACAGTCCACCAGGGAAACATGCACCTTACCCTGTTCCAGTAATTTCTGCTTTGCCATCTCCTCTGAGCCTGGGACAGCCCAACACAGCTGGCAGAATAGGGAGGACCACCTCATGGTGCAGGCTGACAAGGTGGAAAGGGACATGTCCCAGATTACACAACCTCGCGACATGCAGAAAAGCTGGTGCTCCAGACTCCCAGAGCAGCCCCTCCCTCCTGCAGCTCCAGGCCCAGGTGACAGAGCTAAGGGCACCGAGGCCCCCCAGGCAGCCCCCAGCTCTGCCTCCCTCCGTTCCTCTGTCCATCCACCCGTCCACCCAGCTCTCCATCCGCTTAGCAATAATAGGCCGAGTCCAGTCATGCTCCAGGCACTGTACAAGACCCTGGGGATCCCGAGAGGAGCCCCTGTACTCCAGGAGGCTGCAGCCTCACGGGAAAGCCCCCCGCTTGCAGGAGACTGGCCTGAGACACACAAGGGCGCCACCTTGCCCAGCCCGTGGGGGACAGGAGATGTCCTGGGGAAGACGTTGCCATGGTCTGGGGTCCTCAGACTCACATGAGCTCAGTGGCAATGCAAAGTGGGACAGACACGGCCATGTCCCCCTTGGCCACCCGTCCTCCTTCCAGAGCTGTGCCCACCTTTGGCAGCTGGGGCTTCCCTCCAGAGTGGATATGGTCCTCCGGCTTTACAGTTCCTGGCTGCCTCCAGCAAGGCCGCTCCCTGATACCAGTCCTAGATTAGCAATTAGCCCTCCTGTTTGGTTTCCACCTAGAGCTCTTGGGGACAGATTTATCTGTGCGTGTCATTAATCAGATGCCTGGGATGTGCTGCTGGACGCCCAGGGGGGCTTTGTGGCGGGTGACCTAGCAGAGCGGCGTTTGAAGTGATCAAGGTGTCGGCCCCTCCCTGGGCAGAGCTGCCTCGAGTTGAAGGGGCAGAGTTTAGATCCTCGTCGGCAGGTCGGCGCGGGAGCGAGCCGCGAGACCCGGTGCGCTTTCATTTGGACTTCTAGGCTGAGGTCAGCATCCGAATCTGACCTTTATAGATGAAAAGGCCCTTTGTGATCAGACCCGGAGTTTGTTCCGTGGCTGCTGGCTCCCCCCCCCCCAGGACAGCCAGCCACAGGGCCTGTTCTTTCCGCCCCATCACCGAGAGTGGTTGCTCCTCCCTAATGCCAGTGCCACGGTCATGCTCCGGTCCCCGGAGGGCAGCAGGGGCAGAGGGCTGGGGCTGGGGCCGCACGCCAGGGAAGGCTTTTGCATTCGGGACTAGGATGGCTCCTGGAACGAGGTCAGCGTGATGGGAAATAATGGGAAGAGTATTTCAGGCCAAGGGAACAGCGTGTGCAAAGCGGGGCGGGGTACTTTGGGCAGGCGGACGGGCCCAGAGCCAAATCACTGAGCTGAAGTGGGAGAGGGGAGCCTGGCCTTGGGGGAGCTTTGCGGGTGGTGCTGAGGGGCCTGGTTTTCATACTGAGGGGAGCGGGGAGCCGCCAAGGGTGCCCAGGCTGAACTGTCTCCTCTCGAATGACTTGGGAGCTTCTGCAGTTCTCCCTGAAGACAGGCCTGCGGGCCAAGTGGACCCCATCCTTTTCACTGGAGGGCAGTTGAGTGCCTCTGGGAGCATTGTGGAGAGTTGGCCGGCTGTGGGGCTCCCAGCCTGGCCCTGAGCTGTGGCCCACAGTCCCTGGGCAGCTTGAGCAGGTCATGGGCTTGGAGCAGCGGCAGGCAGCAGGAGGCTCCTGTGAGCTGAGTCTCCCTGCCCCCTCCATCCCTGGCCCCTGGGCCTGGCTCGGCAGCTCTGAGGGGCGGAGGCGAGAGGCTGCTTAGGCGGTGTGAACCTCCACTCTGCTAATTAGACAGTTTCCTGACGACACCCAGACTTCCAGGGACAATGGGCGATGGGCGTGTGGACGAGTGTGGCAGCTGGCCGTGGGTGGCCGCGGGAGCCCACACTGCCCAGCCAGCAGCCTGGACCCTTGCCAGCGCCCACCCTCAGAGACAGATGCTGGGGAAATGGGCGACGGGGCAGGACTCAGCGCAGATGAGAGCTCTGGGGCCCCTAGGCCTCTCCTGGGCCATGGCTGCTCTGAAGGACATGACCCGGGACTTCCGCCACTGAGTGGACCTTCCTGTCTCCCCTCCTTTTCCTTCCTTGGTCCCTCCTTCCCTTCTTGGCCTGGGACTTCACTCCTGTCCCCTAGTGCTGGGCCAGGTCACATGGGGATGGACGGTGGGCGGCCACCTGCCAGCTGCCCATCCCATGGGGCCCTGCATGGCTGGGCTCAAAGTCCTCCTTCTGCCAGGCTCCAGGTGGAGCAGAGGCCCCAAGTCTGCAGGTGCTGCCCCCACCAGGCAGGGGATCTAGAACGTCACCCCTGGGCGGCGGGGGACAGGGCGCACAGTTGCCCAGAGATGCTTCGTCCGCCCCGAGGGCTCTCCTGCCTTTGAAACCTCGTCCAAGCCTGGGCAAGAGAGTGGGCACCGCGTAGGGCTGGCCCAGGGCAGCGCGCACCCCTCCAGGCTCACGGAGGGACAGGCAGCTGTCGTGGCCTCAGGAGGAGAGACCCCAAGGGGGCTGTGCACGTGGTGGGGGGCGCGGTAGCCCTCCCCTGGTCTGCTCCTTCGCCCTCCGTGACTCTAGGCCCAGAAGGTGGCCTGGGCCTCTGCCTGGGGCTCCCGGGAGGGAGGCAGCTCATCCTCCTCCCTCACCAGGAGGGTCTGCAAGGAGCCTAGAGGGAGCCTGGGCTGATGTGTCTGGTGCCACCAGCCAAGGTCAGGACTTTGGATTTCAGTAAAGTAGACGGCTTCTGCCGGCAATCTTGCTGGCTTCGTGACCTGCCCGCCCTGCCCTGCCCTGCTGTGGCGGCCTTAGCTGGCCCCTTAGAGGAGGCAGGCCTGGCCCCCTCTGACTGCCTGGGCTGAGGCCCCTGCACAGGTCCCTGGCACCCTGGCTGCGAGACAGGCCTGTGCTGTCCACACGCGGCAGCTTTTGCTTGGTACCAGGGGTTGAACCCAGGGCACTCTACCACTGAGCCATATCCCGACCTTTTTTTTTTGAGATAGGGTCTTGCTAAGTTTCTGAGGCTGGCCTTGATCTTGCAATCCTCCTGCCTCAGCCTCCAAAGTCTCTGGGACCACAGGTGTGCGCCACAGCAGGTAGAGCGCTGTTGCTCTCAAACAGATGTTTGGGGGGCACTTAGCTGGCCACCACAGGATGTGTCTCAGGGCTGACAGGCACAGGGAGGGGGCCATAGTCACAGAGGCTTCCCTGGAGAAGGCTGAAGGGGTATCAGGGAACCCAGCCTCTGTACGGGGTGTCTGCTCCCTTTCTCTGCCGGCCCTGCCCCCCCCAGCCTCCAATTCCCCAAAGCAGGTTGGGACCCCAGACTTCCAGCCTCCCCAGGGGCTCTGTGCTGGTGCTGGGGGGCCCAGTGTGCGCCCCTGGGGACCATCAGCACCCTGCCACCAACCTCACTCAAAGCCACAGCGGGGCCACGCTCCGGCTCTGGGCAGGCGACCCAGGTGTAGATGGAGGGCGCTGCCCCTCCCTCCGGAAGTGTCCCCCCACAGCCTCGTTCCTCTGCTTCTCTCGCACCGCACCGCTGTGCCAGCCCTGGGGACAGGCCCCTCGCCCAGCTCCCCGCCCCCCAGCGCTCCCGTTTCCCTGCCCCGTCAGAAGCCGTGCCAGGGGAGGTTCGCCTGTGTGTGGGGAATCGCCCACCCGCTCCTTCCCGACAGCGCACCTCGCCTGGAGAGCAGCAGAGGGCCAGGCTGTGTTAATATTTACAGCGAGTAGCCCAGGAAGCTATTAGTTCCTTTTCTTGTTGTTAATTGAAAGAGGAGAAAATGGTTGTAACACTTCAAAAGGACTTAGAGCCAGCCCAGGGCCGGCTGAGCGGGGGAGGGGGAGAGGGTTTTAAGTAAATAACCCAGCCAGCCTGGGGGGGGGGGGCTGCGTCTTCCTTGGGGTTTCCTTATGGCCCTTTCAGCTGGGCGCCTGCTTTAAGGAGAGAAGGAAAAGGGAAAAGATCCGCCGTCGCTTTGTTCCTAATGAGCCTCTTTGAAGCAGCGGCTAAGGAGGCACCTTCGAGCCTGCGGTGCCAGGGCCCGGCCCTGCCCCATCCCGACGGCTGCTGCAGGCCCTCGGAGGGTGCAGGCCAGGGAGGGGGCACTGGGCTGCAGCCCCCCTGGGCCTGACCTGGCGGTGACTTCCGTTCCCGTGGACCCCCTGGGCAGCCCACCACACTGTGATGGGGGGCGGAGGACGAGCTGACCCCTGGGAGAGGAGGCCCAGCACTGGGAGGCCTGTGAGTGGGCCTTCCTGAGCCTGTCTCTGCATGGGTGGCTTCTGGGGGCTCGGTCCCAGGATGCGAGTCACTAGACAGCAGGACCAGGGAACCCAGACGTCTTCAGGGCCAGGGATGTGGCTCAGGGGTGCAGCACTTGCCTCGCGTGCATGGGGCCCTGAATAAAAAGACCTTCACTCCGGGCACCTACCACTCGGCTCTGACAACCGTGCCCTCCTCCAGGCAGACTTCCCTGACCCCCCCCTCTGCCCCCAGCTTCTTTACGGGGCCACTGAGGCCCCCTGCACTCTGCTCTCTCTCAGCCTGGCCTTCTCTGTGGAGCAAGATGGCTGACTCTTCCAGATACAGAGGAACACCTGGCCCTCGTTCCTGGACAGGCTGCATTAAAGGAGGAATAGACCACACAGTGGAGGTCATATCCACACCGCCCCCTCCCTGCCTCCACCCTGGTCACATCAAGCAGGAACACTGTGGGGTTCCGGGCTCCACAAGATGCAGGTGAGAAGTGCCCACAGACATTCAGCCCAGCACAGGACAGAGGGCAGACCCTGTCCTTGGCACTCTGGGTCCAGAGGAAAACGTGTGATATGTTCCGGGGCCCAGCATCTAGAAGGGCCAGGAGGATGTTCTGGGAAGGACTCAGCTACACCGAGACCATTTCAGTTTTGCATCTAAGGGAACAGAGATGTTCAGGGGCCTGCCCAGGGTCACACAGCGCAGAGCCTGATGGCAAACCCATTCTTGTTTCTGTTATGTGCCCTTAGGGCCACAACAACCTTTCCTGTGGGGCCAGGGACAAAAGATCTACACTCAGGTGGCAGAATCGGGTCCCTCTGTAGGTCCCCAAGGTACCTTAGCAATTAAAGGTTATGAGAAGTCCCAGGCAAAGATGCCCATCTCAGTCGGTTGGCCTCAGTCATTACCAGCTGACTTTATTTTTTGTGACACCTGTCAATCTTTGGGAGGTGCTGTGTGATGCCCATGTCTTTGGTGACCTCTGTGTGTCACACAGGGGTGCTGTGTTGGTGGCATGCCGTGGTGAGGACAGGCCTGCCCCTGCCCTCTGCTCAGCACACAGTAGGCATGCGCATGGGGGTGGGGGTGTGATGAGCTGGGCTGGGGCCACAGGAAGCCACAGGTCCAAGCCAGACATGGTCTCCTGTCCTGGATCTGTGGCAAACCCTCTGTCCACACCCGCCTGACCTCCCCAGGGAGTCTTGGCAGGCTGAAGCAGCTGGTCCCCAGGGCATCCATACCTCCTCAGACAGGATCAGCGCCCTCTGCCCCCACTCGGCTGCCAGGCCCGGCCCCTCTTCCCTCCCCTCCAGCTCTGTGGCTGTGGCCTTGACAT